TAAGGGCAGGGCCACAGGACCCGTTCTTAAAATGGGAACATTGTAGGAAGGGAGAGAAAGGATGCAGGGTGAGAAGACTTTCAGATGACCACCTTCCAGCCAGCTACCGCAGGTGGCCTTGCTGCTCTATTCTTCCCACTGCTGACCAGTCCTTTCTTCGTGAGCTACAAACCAACCATTGTGATCACTGTCCATGTGCAAAAGTAGACACCTTCACATAGCAGGTGGACCATTTTGGAGGACCACAAACACACGTTTCAGGGTACACCCTGCATCCTCTGTTTCTCTGATAACTCAGTTTCGACAGAGTCCACCTCTGCTGGACCAACTTGGCTGCGTGTGGGATTAAGTGATTATCTAGGAATGCTCCCTTTGCCCTGGAACCCCCCGCCTCAAGCCATTCTGCCCTCCCCGGCCGCCATCCTGAGGTTTTCATTAAGATTTCAGGGTTTGCTGTTAAAACTTTTTTTAAAAAATCTAATAACATAGGGACACACTCTTCAGACTTAAGCCTGGGCTCTGTGCTCAGTCACTGGGGAGAAGCAAAGGTAGAGAGATACCAAAAAGCTGCCAGAGGACCCCCTCCATAGACCCAGTGGGTTTGCAACCTGTAAATACCTGTTAGATTCCTCTCACCTTGCCATTGGTCAAAAGTATTAAGCTTCTACAGACTGGGAGTCAAGGTGTGGTAGATCCATGGGCCTGTGCATGCCGTCAAGTCGGGGTAGCAAGCCTGGGAGGAATGGAGAAGAACACTGCAGGCACCTGTCATCGGATGGGAAGAAACAAGACTTGGAATTGGGAGATCTGAGTCTGCCACTCGTTAGCTACGTCACCTCGAGCAGGTCACGGGCCCTCTCCGAGCCTTGGTTCCTTTCTTTCTTTCTTTTCTTTCTTCTTTCCTTTTAAAAGATTTTATTTATTTATCTGACAGAGAGAGACGCAGCGAGAGCAAGAACACAAGCAGGGGGAGTGGGAGAGGGAGAAGCAGGCTCCCCGCCGAGCAGGGAGCCCGATGCGGGGCTGGATCCCAGGAGCCTGGGACCATGACCTGAGCCCAAGGCAGACGCTTAACGCCTGAGCCAGCCAGGCGCCCCCTAGTCTTGGTTTCTAGATCTGTGAAATGAGGGAAAGAGCAATCCCATGCAGGGGGTGTTGTGAGGGTCAGAGTCATGCATCCTTCACTCCTGGGTGCCCAGAATACAGCCTACAGTGAAGTATGGAGATTGAGGGTACAGCTTCTGCCCTAAGAGGGCTCACAGTCTAGGAAATAAGCAATTATAAAACAGTTTGATGGGCAGAGAGCACAGGTAGATGCGGCCTAAGGGGGCTGCAGACTCCCTGCCCATGTGGCACGGCCCTGGCCTTGTCCCGCTGTGCCCACAGGGCTACCTACCCTCCCTCACCTGGGGGCTTCCCCTGCCCCCTGGACCCCACTCTGCCTGGCAGGTGGGAGGATTCACCTCCCCAGTAGCCTTCAACCCAGGAAATGAATGACAGAGGTGTGTTAACACAGAGCTTCCTCGAGCCCCGGCTGGGGAACTCCCAGGGGTGCATCCTGCCTATTTCTCGGAATTCCCCTGCCAGACAAGGCCAGTTGCCCACGGAGTGACTTGCATAGGCTCCCCCCCCACACACCCCATTGACTCCTTCTCTTCCTTATTTCACTTCTCCGCTCCCTAACCAACACTTCCCAGGATTATTCCCCAATAAACTCCTAGTGCTCAAATCCTGGTCTGGACACCTGCTTCTAGGCAAACCCGCTGTAAGATGGTAGGCACACAGGCCCCCCAAGGGAGACCCCAGAGACGGAGTCTCTGGGAAGAAGAGGTGCTGAACTGGGCTCTGAGCCCCTGAAGGCACACACGCCTGGCCAACCCTAAGTGCTGGGCGTGTGTGTGTGTGAGAAGTCAGGGTCAGTGTCATAATCATAAGGGGAAATGGACCACAGCATGGTCTTAAACCAGAGCCTGTCCAGGAGCAATTTGTTACTGGTCTAAAGACGGAAATGATGGTAAGCATTAGTCTACCACAGACCAGAAATCAAACCAAACCAGCAAACCTTTCCTTTAGACAGTCTGAAGTACACGTTTAGAATACCTCATTCCCTTCTTACTCACATCTTTTCTGTTTGCTGTGTCCCCAGTGTTTTCCAGGGCAGGTCGACCTAGAGAAAACACAAAGTGCAAGGGCCCCCTCACATGGCATCGGCCTCAGGCCTCCAGGACCGTGGGCTGCCCAGGCTTCTGGAAGGACCTCCGCCAGCCCCCAGCTTTGCTCCCGCACTGCCCCTCAGGAGGGCCTGGGGGGCCACCTCTGCCTGGCCGACTCATCCCCCTTGGCACAGCTGACCCACGAGCACCAGGAAGCCAATTAGTAGAATGGTGTCCAGAAGACTGAGCGCCAAATAACATCAGATGAAAGGGGCTGTGGTATTTTATCTATCAGCGCCAATGTGTCAGCAAAATTTTGAGCATATTTCTAGGAATAGGCTGGAACATCATTAAACTTGACGTGCAACCTCTCTCCATACCACCACCCCCTCCACCCTCTCTCCAACAGCCAACATAACCCGGGCCCTGACGCGTAGTGGGTGCTCAAGAGAAGTTTTAAGTGTATGCATGAAAAATATATTAGGATGTACGTGTTGAACCCACCTACACTGACTGTTTCCCATCAGAATTCAAATCCCAGTTTCCACCCCCCAAAAATCACAACCCCCCCCACACTTGTCTTCCTCCTCCTCCCCATCTTGCTCCTGTACCTCATAGACAAAGTTCTTGAAAGAAGGACCCACTCTCCTTACTTAGGATTGCCTTTATCCCTCAAATTGCCCGGCTCTGGCTCCCATCCCAATCTGCCTCTGGAGCTGCTCTGACCAGCGTTTCCAACAGCCTTCTCGTCCTGAGCGCGCATCAACCCGTCTCAGGTCTGTATCGTACTCGCCTTCTCTGCCCTGTTCCGTCCCTACTGACACTCCCTATCCCCTCCACTGTTGCTCTCCGCTCTCACGACGTCCCCTCAGTGGGCTTTGCCAGTCTCCCCTTTTCTGGCTGTTTCTTCAATGTAGGTTTTCCAGGATTCTTTCCCACGTCTTCTGTTCCCACTGTGCACACTCTTCCTGGGTGATGGAAACATTTATCACAGATTCGATTACCATCTATATGCCGATGGCTCCAAAAGCCATATCCCAGTCTGGAATGCTGTTTTTAACTCTAGACTCAGAAGTTTCTAGGTCTAGACTAGTAGGCAGGGTATCTGGGTCTAGAGCTAAGAGCCTGCATCTCCTCCTTGACCTCAGCATGATGATGATGCTAACAGAATCCACTTGACCGGCTTCTACTAGGCAGGCACGTGAGGAAGCACGCCAGCCAAAATTTAGATAGCCTCTCCTCTCTGGGCAAAGAGGGACGTTGGGGTTTTAACTGCAATGTGACAGAAAATGAAGGCTATCAAGAGACCTTGAGAGGGATGGGCCGAAAGGGTTTCTTGCTCCTATATTAGTTTTCTGTGGCCGCAGAACATATGACCACGAAGTTGGTGACTTTGACCAACACAAATCTGTTATCTCGCACTTTTTGTGGATCAGAAGTCTGGGCGTGGGTTACCTGGGTCCTCTGTCAGGGTCTCACCAGGCTGTAATCAAGGTGCCAGGGGGGCGGGGCTCCCACCTGAGGCTCCAGGTGATTCTGGTCATTGGCAGAATTCTCTTCCTTGTGAGCTGGGGACTTAGAGTCTTTTTTAACTACACTGATGTCAAGATCCTCTCAATCCTGAACTTGTGTTGCTGAACTTCTTTATCTACTGGTTTTCATCGGGTTTCATTCCTCCTGTGGTACATGTTTACATCCTTTCACAAGTGAGTCTGCAATGTAATGTGTGAGCTCTTCTTCCAGTTCTGGGTCATCTGTAGAGTTGATAAGCACACTTTCTTCCTCTTCACCCAGATATTAATGAAGTGTTTAAGGGACAGGCTGAAGAATTGAGGTTTTTGAGGTTGACATGACAATTTCAGTAATCTGACAGTTTTTAAAAACTTACTCACTTAATTGAACTAGCACCTGTGCCTCGTGAAAACTGAGATATGGGATGTCTGTTGACATCCTCTTTATCCAGAACCTAGTCATTCTCTTAAAAATGGAAATGAGATTAATAAGAAATAATCTCTCCTTAGAAAAACCATGCTGATTCTTAGCCATTACTAAGGATCACAAACCATCCGCTAAATTCATAGCCTAGTGTTTTTTGGGGATTGATGCTATTATAATTGTTCCTGGAATATACACCTTCTTCCCCTTCCTGAAAATCTTTAGAATGTTTGGGAACCTCGTTTAAGTATCCTTTCTGAAGTCTGCTTTATGTAAATAATTGACTTATATGAATATTCTTCTTAAAAGATTTTCTAAAAAAAATTAACTTTTCCAAAACGGCAAATCAGCGAGGTCCTAACCAAGTTCCCAGCCACTATTATTTATAACTCACATGCCTCCAGAAGATAGCTAAATATACCAAGCTTGTGAAATACACTCTGGAACTGGAAACTGTGAAGAACAAAGGCAGGTAAATCGTGACCTTGGGGTCAGCAGTGATGGAAACGAGGCCACTTGTTTTTCTTTGTTCTTATTTTTTTTTTCTTTGTTCTTATTTTGAAGCAATCTTCTCCTCACTTTTTCCGAATCCCTGGGATATCAGGGTCCTACTTCCATTTTTATTCTGATAAATGCATCATTATAGTAAGATCTGAGTAGCCCAAAGGAGATGTAAATAAATTGGAAGCCTCTCTGGTCTCTGGTGCTGGGTGAAAGCCCTTTGGGATTTGGTCTTGATGAAGTCCAGAATTAATGAAATGTAAATTACAGGAATCAAAGCTTATTACTGATAATAAATGTGTATAGAATGTTTGGATAGTTAGATCTGTCCATTTCATTACAATATCAAATATTCATTGCATCTTAGAATTAGCTGGGGTTTAGGGTAGTGGGTTTTTTTTTTTTTTAAATCCATGTGTCCCGGGCATGAACCAGGCACAGGCATAGCCCAAAAGCCAAGCTGGAATAAACAAGGAGTTGCTTTGTCCCTGGCTGATATGAGGCAGGCACTACCACCAGATGCCACTCTACCCAGGTCAGGGACTTTGGGTAGTTTTTTTTTTTTTAAGCGTTTTTTTTTTTAATTTAAAATATAAGGCTTTTTAAAAAATAGAAAGCATTTTTAAATTTAAAATAGAAAGCCTTTTTTTTAAATAGAAAGCATTTTTAATTTAAAATATATTATGTAGACAAGTTTAACAAAAGGCTGTAAAGTGAACACCTACTCAATCATGCCCTGGGCCAAGAAACAGACTACTAACAGTCCCTCGGGAGCCCCCTCAATATTCTTTACCGGTAGCAATCCCTCCCTGCTCTCAAGAGTGACCACTTCACTTTTATAGCTTTTCTTTGTAGGTTTGTTGCCTGTGGATGCATCCCTACTTTTTACCTATTTCTAAACTGAAAATGGAGCGCCGCTATATTATTGTGACTTGCTATTTTTTGCTCAACACTGCAAGACTCATCACATTGTTGGATACATCTAAAATATTCCTTTCCTTGGTGCCTGTGCACTACACAGCGAACATTTAGTTTTCTTCTGGTTCTTCGCAATTATGAAAAGCACTGCTAAGGACATTCTTTTCGACTTAGTGCGCGTAATTATGCACATCTGGAGGGAACCTGGAATATTCCACTTTCCTAGATGATGCAATGTTGTTTTTCCAAAGCAGGTGTACTGACTCGCGTTCTTGTTATCAGGAGTGTAAGTTTCTGAAGTTTCTGAAGCTCCACACCATAGCCAGCACTTAGTACTGTTAGTCTTTTTCATTTTACCAATCACATTGGTGTTGATTCCAACTCATTGTGATTTTAATCTGTGTTCCCTTGATTAACAATTAGGTTGAGTTTACTGACCATTTGGGTATCTATCCCTCAGAGGTCCATGTTCACATCTTTGTGCATTTTTTCCCCTCTCAGTTTGTCTGCCCTTTCTCAATTACTTTTTTAGATTCCTTATATGTTCTGGGTACTAGCCCCCTTTTTAAAAAATGCCACATATGTGAGGGAAAAATGAAACAAGACGAAACCAGAGAGGGAGACAAACCATAAGAGACTCTTAATCTCAGGAAACAAACAGAGGGTTGCTGGAGTGGAGGGGGGTGGCTGGGTGATGGACATTGGGGAGGGTATGTGTTGTGGTGAGTGCAGTGTATTGTGTTAAGACTGATGGAAAACAGACCTGTCCCCCTGAAACATATAACACATTATATGTTAATAATAAAAATAAATAAATTCTCCATCAGGCAAAAAAATGCCATTTTGTTATGAATATGTTCTCACACTCTGTGGTTTATATTTTAATTCTTTTTTATCTTTTGATGAACGGGACTTAAAATTTTTAGTATGACTCAATTTATCTCTTTTCCTTTATGCTTACTGTTTTTTCTTCCTTATTTAAGATATTTACTCCAAGGTTATTAAGACGTTTTCTTAGGGGCGCCTGGCTGGTTCAGTCGGTGGAGTGTGCAACTCTTGATTTCGGGGTTGTGAGTTCAAACCCCATGTTGGGTGTAGAGATGACTAAAAATAAAATCTTTAAAAAATATATTTCTTTTCCCATGGTATCTTCTGAAAGCTCAGTATTTGGCATTTCATATTAGTTTTTTAAGCCACCTGAGGCTGATTTTACATACAGTGTGAGAAAGGGGTATAATCTCAGTTTTTTCCAATATGGAGATCTTACCATCGCCATCCACCTTGAACACTGTTCTTTATCTGCTGCCGCCTCTGCCACAAGCAAGTCCATGCCTGTGGGGTCCATTTTTAAGTTCTCTCTCCTCTTTCACTGGTTGATTTTTTATCTTTGCATAAATGCCACACCATCTTGTTCACCAAAATACCGCAATATCTTGATATTTGATAAAAAAAAATCCTCTTATGTCTTTCTTTTTCTTCAAACACAGATTGTCAAATTCTACAAAATAAACATACTGAGATTTTGACTGGGATTGCACTGAACCTATAGCTCAGTTTGGGAGGAACTGACATTTTGAAACTAGTGATTTTTCCAATCCAAGAACATGGCATAGGGCCCTTCCAATGTTCTTCAGTATTCCTCAGGAAGCTTTAAAGCTTTACTTTTGGAATATCCATGCACATCTTTCATAGATCGATGCTTAAAGGAATTGATGCTTTTAAGATCATACTATAATTCATGTCTTTTAACATTCTATTTTTAACTGTTTTGTGCTAACAGAGAGAAATACAATTTTTATGTATTTTTTTGTTTCAGTAGTAGTTTAAAACTCTAGGATTTTTAAAAAAGATTTTATTTATTTATTTGACTGGGAGGAAGAGAGAGAGCACAATCAGGGGGAGCAGCAGGTAGAGGGAAAAGCAGGCTCCTCACTGAGCAGGGAGCCCGACGTGGGGCTCGATCCCAGGACCCTGAGATCATGAACTGAACTGAAGGCAGACACTTAACCGACTGAGCCACCCAGGCGCCCCAAGACTCTAGGATTTTTTATGTATACGTAATAGCATCTGAGAAAAAGAACAATTTTTTTTTCTTCCAGTCTATGTGCCTTTTATGTCTTTGTCCTCCTTATTGCCCTGGCTAGGACCTTCGGTACAATGTTGACTATAAGTGCAGACTCCTCCTTCTTTCAAAGGTAACCTTTTTATGTTTTATCATTTAGCATAAGGTTTGCTGCCGATTTTGTGTTGATTTATTTTATCCAATGAAGCCTGGAAAACCTAAAATCCTTAGAAGAGGCCTGGGCATAGTTTGGAGCTCCTTTCTGGAAACAACAACTGGGGTAGTTAATCCCATCAGCTCACTCGGACTCCTTCTAGAGTAAGCTGCACTCATTCAAAGCCTGTACTTATGCAGGTCTTCTAGCTGGGGCCCCTGCTTCCAGTTTGGTCCCCCCCACATGGCTGTGAGAACACACTCTAACATGTTAATCGGATCATGTCACTCCTTTCTAGAAACCTTCCAAATCCCAGGCTCATTGGTCGAATGTCAAACTCCTGAATCTGACCGAGAAGGCTCTTCATGGTCTGGTCCCTACCACCTCTGAAGTCTTTCCAACCAGTGACTTCCCGTCTAGGGCACCCTCCCGCTTGAGTCATCTTGAACCACTTAGAGTTTCCCAAGTGTCCCTGTTGACCTTTATTTCCTACAAAATTGGCATATTTATAGGGCTGTCATGAGAAGTCAATAAAATCAGATGTAGAACTAGAATGAAATCCAGATGACCTATTTATTATCTATTAATGTTATAAATGCTATGATTGATGGATCCTGAATGTATCAGTCGGGTTGGGCTGTTATAACAAAATACCATAGCCTGGGTGGCTTAAACACAGAATTGTTTTTCTCATAGTTCTAGAGATTGGGAAGTCTAAGATCAAGGTCCTGGCCAATTCAGTTCCGGGTGAGGGCCTTCTTCCTGGCTCACAAATGGCATCTTTTTGCTGTGTCCTCACAGGGCACGGAAAGAGAGAGGGAGAAAGAGAGAGAAGGAGGGAGGGAGGGAGGGAGGGAGAGAGGAAGGAAGGAAGGGAGGAGAAGGAGGGAGAAAGAAAGCTCTCTTCTTATAAGGACACTAATCCCATCATAAGGACCCAGCCCTCATGACCTCACCAAAATGTAATCACATCCCAATGGCCCACCTCCATCACAGAGGGGGTAAGGGTTTCAGGTAGGAATTTGGGGGGACACAATTCAGCCCACAGCACCGAGCAAAGTGGGTAATGATTTATTATGGCTATCCAGCCATTTGTCCAGCATTCTGCTGCCATTTAGCACCCATGAGAGCAGGCGTTTCATGTTCAAATCAAGATATCCTGCACATAAAACACTAATATCTACACTTCATTTGGGTGGAAGTGAGGGAGATGGACAGTTGGGGAGTGTTGAGAAATGATGGGAGAGACAGACAGTTCATGGAAAGGTCCTGTATTACAGAAATGTATGGGTTTTATTCTCTGAATGAGTAAGATCATGAGAAAACAGAATCAGTGAGACATTCAGACGCAGTTGGTTGTTAGCTTTAAGGGCTATAAAAATGCTCATCCTAATGATCCCATTTGGGGAATTTATCCCAAGAAAATAACCCAAAAGATAGAGAGAGGGATATATGCACAAAGATATTTATTCCATTATTTACAATAATAAAACCTGGGAGAAACCCATAGAGGAACACTTAAGTAGTTATTAAATAAATGCTTGTTGAATGAACCAACAAATACTTCCTGAATTTAAAGCAGCAATTAAAACAGTGAAGTCCAGGTTAATAGCATGGAAAAATCATTGAAGTAGGCAAAATAAACAAAATATAAAATTATAACTACACAACACTTCAACTCTATAAATACAGTGACAAAAGATGGACCCAACTAGAAGCAAAGGCAGAGAAAGACAACAACAGACCACTTGTTAGGTTTGTGCAATTATGTGCCACTGACATACCATATTTACAAAAGACACTGCCGTTTTACAAACAAAAAACAACCAGGAAAAGGTAATCTGGCTCGCTGCCCTCACAGCCTCACAAAGTAGCTTTTGTTTGCAGCCAGCCTGAAAAAAACACTTGGCTTTCAGGGACAGTGAATGGATGAAATATTTGGGGTCAATACGGTGGAAAGAAGTATTTGTTTTACAGGGAAGCATGGGGCAGTGGTAACTGGCGGGGAGGAGGGTGAAGGAGGAAGAGGGTTTGGTGTGTTGGATGAACTACACGCTTGGGGTCAAAGCATCCACCCTCTCCAAAGCAGGATGAGAAAGAGGGCCCTCATGTTAAGAAGCCGAAGGGAACCTGAACAGTACGATGCTGGCTGAGCAGACCTGTGCTTATGCTCACTGGAAACAAATAGTGGAAAGAAAGAGAACCAGGTACTTGGCAATAGTTATGCCATTACTGGATTTTGCCATTATAGTTCACCTGGTAATAGGTCTCCTCAAGGTGGAGTTGTCAGAGCTCAGAGCTAGATGAGGAGACAAGGGCTCAAGGGGGTGAGGTGACTCGGCTGAGGTATACCGGTGGTGTTCAGCACTGCAAGAGAAACTCGGGCTTCAGAGTCATGTGCACCGGGTCTC